ATATATATATATATATATATATATTGATGTGTGTCTGCGTTGGGGACATCTATATTTATGTGCATCTGCCTCCACGGGGGTGAGCGTGTTGTGTGGGTAGCCGCATCAAGATCCGTCCGCACACAAACGCAATATCGCAACGGTGAGGAAACGAAGCGGAGTTATTGAAGGAAAAAAAAGAAAGGGAAATGACGGAAAATCAGCAAACATGAGATACTGTTTCATTCTGCATTCTGTTCAATGCATTTTGACTACTTACTTTCTTTTCAGCTTCTTCGTCTACGCGACCCTTACAGGGGTAGGGGGCGCGTGTAAGCCCATGCGAGGCTCCGCTAATGCGTTTTCAAACTTTGTTTCGCCAAGCTGTTGTTTTGTTGTTGTCCCTGCTTCTACTGATTCTGTTCTTGTGTGTTGTTAGTACCCTTGTTTTATGCGATTCACTGGTGTGATTTGATACGCCGTCTTCCTGTATGCCATTCGCGTGTAGGTGTATTTATTTGGTGCTTCATCTCTTGCGCTTACTGCCATTTGTTTCTCTTCGTTATTTCCATGTGGCCTGGGCGGGAGCTAACCGAAGCGGCGGCGGCAGCAGCAGCCGAACGCGGAAAGACACCACGTGTTGTACCTGTACTGTTTCCTCCCGTGGCTAATTGCCATGAGGGGAATTGTCAGGATGTGTGATCGATGTGTGCGGCACGGTGGTCGTCTTTGGGATTATGATGACTGTTATTATTATTATTATTGTTATTTCTCCCGCTGATGCTTCTGCCGGGGTGGAACCGCGGCACATGTATGCCGTGTCTGTCCCCTCCGCGTGGGTTTTCACATGACGCGACTTCAACAGCCTTCTGTATCAGCGAAAGGTTTATTGTAGACGGAGATATTTATATTTATGATGAAAATAATTATTGCTCCAAGATTGACTACAATCCATGCGTGGGAAGCGTAATTATCGAAACGATTTATGCGTTTTTCGTATATATATATATATATCTGCTCAGATTCCCACACCAAGCAGGAGAGAACAACGCGTATGTGGGTACATAGGCATTCTCTTCTTCGCTTGTTACCCAAACATTTCTTTCTGCTGCTGGCTGTCGCCCTCGGCCACTGTTCACCACATCCCCACTATTGCCACCGCTGACATATCTAGCGGCAGCAGGAGTGGTGCGGGGCGGGCCACACAACACGCGGGTTCACAGGGACAGCAACATCAGCAGCAAGAGTCTTCCACAAGGTGAAGGGAGGAATTATACAAGAAAAGAGGGGAGGGGGAATGGTGCCGGGAGGTGGAGGGATGCAGTGAGAATTCCCTTATTGTATTTGGATGCTGCAGGAGGAGCGGCAGCTGGGTGGTGGGATGTCCTGCGCAAATGCGTGAGTGGGATGGAAAAAAAGAAAAAGAAAAGAGAGACAGGGGGAGTCAGCGAAAACATACGGGCAAAGAATGGGTCAATAGGTGCTTGCCAGCGTAATGACTAGAAGACTTTTCTACATGAGGAGAAAAAACAAACAAAAAAGAAGGAGCGCTACTGAACTAATATGTTTTTATCACGGCTCTCCTGGTGGCGTGCGTACGTATGCATGTCTGCGTGCGCGCGAAGGGATGCTTGTGCCTCTCTCTCTCTCTCGTTCTATGGCTCTCTGTGCAGAAGGGGCCGCCAAGACGGCGTCCCGCATGCCATCCCCATCATTCACTCTCTCTCTCGCTGTCTCCCTCTCCCCCCAAACAACAATCACAATATATATCGGTATTTTCCACTTAAAAGTGTTTATAGCCTCCCCCACTAACCAAACTGACCGCCACGACATTCGCCTTCATTTTTCAATTCTTTTCTTTTTTTGGTTTCCTTTTTTTTTTTTTATTCCTTCGCTCTCTCATTCGCGTTGTTTGCCTTCCCCCACCTCCCACTCACTTCCCTTCCACTGAAGGGTGCAATCGGTGGTGTTGGTGGCGTCGTTGACAGGCTCCAAAAAAAAAAA